TACCACCGTGGCCACTCCCAGCTGCCCAGGCTGCTCCAGGAGCCACATCTGGCCTGGCCACATCTCCCCTTCCTCCCCGCCACCCCTGGCCCCGAGGAAAGCCTGTCCACTCTACTCCGCTGATGTCCAGAGCGGCCCCTCCCCTCTCCACTGTGCCTCCCTGTCCCTGGCCCAGCCTCCGGGTCTCGCCTGGATCAGCGGGCAGCTTCCTGCTGGCTTCCTGCTCCCACCTGTGCACCTGCCCCTCCCCACTCGATCCGCACACAGCAGCCCCGGGAAGCCTGGGTAGGGACCAGCTGTCCCTCAGGCCGGGGCTCCATCCCTGCTCCGGCCCCATCTCACCCAGCTTTCCTGCAAGTCCGACCACGACCCACCGCCCTGCAGCTCGGCCTCCCGGGCCCTCAGCCCCCACCGGATCCTCTTGGGGGGTAACCTGGCCTCCTCGCCGCCTCAGCCTGCCCGGCACTCGACCCGCCAGCACCCTGGCTCCCGGGACTCCTGGTGGCTCACTCCTTTACACTTCCTCTGCCTCCCTAGGCTCACTCCTGCCCCACTTCTATGTTCCCCGCACGCCCCACTCCAGCGCACGTTACATTAGCATGTATCACTGCGTGTGCTTTTCATGTTTCTCCATCTGCTAGCCTGCACCCTCCACAAGGGCAGGCATCTCTGCTTTGGTCACTGAGACAACCCTAGCATCTTTTTTCAAAATATTTTTTATTGATTTTTAGAGCGAGAGGAAGGGAGAGGAAGAGAGAGCAAGAAACATCAATATGAGAGCAAAACATCAATGGGCTGCCTTCTGCACACACCCCACTGGGCATGTGCCCTGGCCAGGAATCAAACAGCAACCTTTCCGTACCCAGGGCAACGCCCACCCACTGACCCACGCAGGCAGGCACAGCCCTAGCACTAGCAGTGCCTGGTCCACGGTGGGCACTGAGCTAGCTGCTGAATAAAACCAGGGTTCTCTCTGAGGCCTCTGAATAAACCTGACGACTGAGCAGCTCCCCGCTTACCCACCGCCCTCCTACCTGCTAAGTAACAAACCTCCCTCGGGAGAGGAAAGGCAAGCCCCGGGGCGAGGAAGGGCTCTAAGGAGCAGGAATCCTCCTTCACTGGGGAGTTCAGCCTGGGCCCAAGGTGGAGGCTGGCTGCCTCCCACAGGCGCGTGGGGTGGCGGTGGGGGCAGAGGCGTGACTCAGTTTCTTCCCAGACCTTCAAACAGAGGCGGAGTGTGAGAGCCTCTGGGACCTTCCCTGGCTCCGCCCAGGGCTATTTTTAGCTCAGGAGGCAGCAGACAGGGAAGGCAGCCGGCCTCACCCCACGTGCCCTGAGGGCCTGGCCATCTTTAATTCATGTGGGAGGGAGCCCTCCCTGCACGTGGGGAGGGAGCACAACAGCGAAACTCTACACGGGAGGGCGGGGCCAGGGCTGGGTGCCCTCCCGGCTGCTTGGTGGAACAGAAGGCTGAATCAGGAGCGCTCAGAGGGCCCCATTCAAGAGCACAGACCCCGGATGCCTGTGTGTCCTCATCTCACCCTCAGATGGACAAGCCACCTGGCCGGGCCTCACACCTTCCTCTGGATGAAGAATGTCCCCTGGAGGGCCCTCCAGCCCCTGGCCCACATGCAGGAGCAGAGGTAAAACCACGTTTCTCATCACCAAAGGCTTAGTCAGTCTTCCCTTCGGCAACATTCCCCTCGAGGTGAGCCTGCAGCGTTCAGCCGTGACTCACTGCCATGCACTGAGCGTTATTATCTACGAGAGATTAGTCATATCTTTGGAAACAGAATGAAATAAGCTAAGAAACAGACAGACTTTCTGTTGTACTTCAAACTCACCAACCTGCACCCCTGTGGGCAGGGATAGCCTCCTCGCAGGAATCAGTGAGCAGAGAACTAAAGGGACTCCTCTTTTTTTAATGTTTTTATTAATTTTAGAGAGAGGAGGGGACAGAGAGATAAACATCAATGATGAGAGAGGATCATGGACCGGCTGCCTCCTGCACACCCCGCACTGGGGATGGAGCCCACAACCCGGGCCTGTGCCCTGACCAGGAACCGAACCGTGACCTCCTGGTTCATCGGTCGGTGCTCAACCACTGAGCCACACCAGCCCGGTGGGGCTCCTCTAAAGACAAAGCAAAACGTGAATAAAACCCCAGCAGATTCTGAATTTCCATCCACTGCCCCGCAGGCTGGGAAGCTGCCTCCCCCTTCACTCAGCCCATTAACCGAAGCAGGTCTGTTTATCCAAGCCTCCATTAGCTGATGAAAAAAAATCGCCACCCTAGAATTCTCCCTCAGCTGGAGGAGCCATATGGCGCTCTTCAGCTCTGCAGGAAGCACGCACATGAAACGGTTACGTGTGAGCACGGCCTCGGCACTGAGCACGGGCAGCAGGGCCAGCCCACGCGGGAGGCGCCGCGTCCCAGCTCATCAGACGCCCATCCTGAGGCGGCTGTTTTCTGAACGACTGTGAAGCGCTGCCGAGCACATGGGCGTCCCCGCGGGCAGAAACCTCCCCACGGGAAGAGGGTCCGCTGGCCTCCTCCCCTGCGAGTCTCCTCCTGAGCCACGGGGCGGGAGGGGCGGCCGGGAGGGGCCGAGTGAGCAGGAAGCCCTGGGAAGACCACTCGCGGCCGGAGGCCCGACAGGGGACAGCTGTCCAGCACGGCCTGGCTCAGCCTTCAGCGGAGGGAAGGGCCAGCGACATCCCTGCGGTCCCATGTGTGGCCACCTGCTACAAAGCACTTACGGACACTGAGTGTGGCTGAGAGACCGAGTCGTTCCATGTTATTTCACTTTAATTAAATGTAAAGAGCCACACGTGGCTCACAGAGCCAGCATGGAGCAGCCCTGGTCCAACACAGAAAAGCCGTCTCCTGGGCTACAGACGAGTTCAGAGGGCCAAGTGGTCCTACCCTGTCCCCCAGGATTCAGGGGGGTGGGGGGGCGGCACCTCATTACCGGCATCTCCACGGCATTCGTCATTAAGAAGCACTTTCCAATCACCTCTCTCGCATCCTATCAGAACAGTACCAGGCCGGAGTGAAGCGGTTTGTCTTGCTGTAAGAACAAGAACTTAAGAGAGGAAATAACTCTTTTGAATTTGTAACATTCTCCCTGAGTTGAAATATAAACTTGTTACATGAACAAACAGCCAGGAGCTGCCGATGGCGGGGCACATTCCCTGCGTCACCTGGTGTGACGTTCTCTCGCCTGCACCGAGCCTCCCTGGTAACCAGCCCGGCAGCCGTGCCCTGGCCTGCGCGGTGCAGCCTTAGGTGGCAGCACATCCTAAACACACGTCACCTGGGGACCCAGTCCCTGTGCGTCACACACGGAGGCTGCGACACACACCGACCGTTGAACACCGACCGTCGAACACCGACCCGTGTTCTTTCCCAGGCGCCTGGAGGTTATGGTCGGTGCCCCTGACTGTTTAAACGACATCAAACGGTACTGGTTTTAATAAAGGAAGTTTCTCAAATCCTAAGTCATAGGAGACAATTTTAGCTTTAGGATGAAAAAATAAACAAGCCCCACGGTGTACTAGACTCCACGGGCACTGCTGTAAACGCCCAACAGCTCTTAGCGCACACGACACACGCCCTTTCTCCAAGCAACTCCCAGAGCAGGCGCTTGGCGGAGTGTGGTCCAAGCGACCCCAGACCCCGAGAGGGGGCGGGCAGGACCAGTCACCTGGGTCAAGGCCACAGGTGTGTGCACTTGGCTCCACCCTCCCAACTACTCACCAACAATTTGCATAAGTTACATGAATAAACAAAGAGGCAGCCAGCCTGGGTCCCCACGGGTGTAACAAGTGGAATTTAAATGTCGGGTCCTGCACTCAAGGCCCAAGAGTGAGACCCACCAGGACCAGCCGGGGTCAAGGATTCAAACCAATTTACGCAAAAAGAGGCGCAGGGGTGGAGGGCAGGCTGGCAGGGCCGTGGCTGCCTTCACAGCGTCCTGCACACCCAGGTGTCTGCAGGCGCCACCCCGTGAGTCAGGACTGGCACTGGAGGGGGAGGAGGGAGACTGCGGCCTCGGGTCTGAGGGCTGACAGGGAGGAGGGACCGACAGGTTTTGTGTGGCTCTTGGGAGCAGAAAGGGGACCAAGAGGCAGATTTTAGTTCAATGCAAGTCAGACCACGTCCAAGGCCAGGGGTGTCCTAACCGGGCTCGGCCCCCGGAAAGGCCACGACCCCTCACTGCGGAAGGCCAGGCTGTTACTCAGGAGGCTTCCCGGGAGGGGTTAGACGGCGACCCCCTCCTCCCCACCCTCTGGGAGGACACTCGCAGGGAGCCCTCCGGCCCTCGCCCAGGCTCAGCCGGGGATGCGCACGGGGAGGGCTGTCCCCGGAGGCCACACTGCCCTCATTTACGCTGTGAAGGAACAAAGGGCCCGTTTAGCTTCACCGAGTGTCAGGCGGCCACTATCACTAGTAAACCCTGGGCGGCCGGGCAGTTCCTGGTTCTCCCTGAGATGCCAGGACGGGCCCTCAGACCCCACGTCCAGCCTCTACACATTCCACGGCGCCCACACCCTGGTCTGAAGACCGCTGGCTCTTCAGTCTCACGGGCTCCAAAATCACCAGGACTGGGCTGAAACAGATTTCTCAAAACTTCCTCAAAGTCTGCCGATGCCGCAAGCCAGAGGCCTGCAGGAAGCGGAGGGCTTCCGCTGCCCGGCCAGGCCCTGGGGGCACTGACCCCAACTCCTCCACCGGGCGGGGCGGGGCGTGAGGGCAGACTCACCTGCGAGTGCAGGCAGGCCTGGCCGGGACCTCCAAGCCTCCTGACCCCCAGCCCTACGCCACCCCCGGTGCTCACAGAGGCCTAGGATGTTTGCGTCCCCTTCCGAGGTGGCCTGGACACAGGTCCCAGAAGCGCCAGAACGATGCCTGGA